ATTTTTATATTGAATTTATAATGGCAACCCTATTCAAGAAAAATTTACATATACATATGTACATATTTATAACTTCTGTAAATTTAATTTTTACTATACCATACATATATATTGTTCATAAAAAATATTCCGTTGACGGTGGTTTTAAAGTACATTATTGGCAACCCTAGAAACAAATATTTTTTTTTTTTTTTTTTTGTGCGGGTGAGGGGGTGGAAAATGCCTTCCGCATCATCGGTGCTATCGTCACAGCAGCGGTATGTGCCACTTGCAGGTCACTAAAAACCCCCCCCCTCTAAGGAACCGTCGCCCACCCTGGGACCGCTTTTGCATTACTTCAGGGTGGCGTTCCATTTTACTCATTGTGAGATTTACATCTACGCACCTGCGTCCAGGTCCCGCTTTTTGCTGCGTAGCAAGAGTGCGGCGAATTTCTTGATGATCCCCCAGTTTGCTTCACTCTCTAACATGACGCTGACTAAATTTTAGAAACAAATATTCAAAATATCTACATTCACACATATTTGAACATCTACATACACTCAAAAATCAATCTAATCTACGTTACAGATGAATGCATTAATTTCAATAACAAAAATCATTAATTAATAATACTTCATTTTAGAAATTCTGAGGTAAAACATGTATGTATGCTCAGGTATTAAAGGAAAATGTTCTYGAGTAAATTTAAACCATTTAAATAATTAGCAGCCTTTCAAAACTTAATTAAATTTTTAGCCAACACCAGTATTTTAATAGGCCAAGGCATTTTTCCTAATAAAATAATAACAAAACATTGTTTTTTGGCAAGCCTTTTTAGAAATGTGATTTTAACAGTTTGAGAGCCATTGTGAAGCTAGAAATTCAACAATATTCAGAAAATCAACACTTCTGGCTATGTGTGTGCTATTGTGAATGAATTTTCGGTTCGTTGCATACATTTAGGGTGCTGGTTTGATCAGGTTTCTTAAAATACCGTTTTTATACTCTGAAGAGAGTATTTTAAGTTTGCCACGAAGTTTCAAAAACATAGAAAGAAACGTTGGAGACTCCATAAAATATATATGTATGTACATACACATACATATAAATGACTACACTGAAGAGTTGGGTCGACGTAGCTTTGTGGGGTTTTGTGTGTCCGTCTGTTTTATATTCCCGAATTGCCYCTCAGYTTCTGAGATATCGATCTAAAATTTTCACAAGTCCTTTCTCATCAAGGAGAAGCTTATTCGATGTTATTGCCGATATCGGATCACTAAAGTCTTTAGCTGTCATACGAACTGAATGATCAAAATCAAGTGCTTGTATGGAAATCTTTTTTATTTGACAAGATTTGGCATGGGTTTTTGCCTTAGGTAATTTAAAAATGCAATCTCCAAAGCAGTTGTGCAGATTAGACTACTATATCATATAGGTACCATTCCACTGACCGATAAAATTTTATTTTAATTATTTTACATTTACATATAATTTTTTATGTTATAAATWATGCACCTGTGAAGGAAAAGTCGAAGTCAACGCTTTTTCTTGTTCTAATATAATTTGTTCATTCTCATATTCATTTTCTCATAATTTATAAATTAATTTATAAGCAGCACTTTTTAATTTTTATTTTAACAAGAAAAGGCATGGTGAGAAAAACAGGGAGCTAAATTTCAACCAACCGCTCTGTGATTGGTCGTTCTGTAGTATATAAAMGTACACCTATACATATACAGATTTATATACGAAGTAAGGGCAACAGGCGTGAATGGAAAAATTGCAGCGTTCTCTTAAAAACAAAAGTGACAGTAGGAACAATGGATGTTAATGGAACATGTACATATTCAAAAAAAAACAAAAAAAAAAAAATGATATGGATGGATAAAAAGATAGTAGAAGCCATATAGGCTTCTTGTCTCTGATATGCATCAAAACTCAGGAATCATATGACTTTTGCAAAAAATCAAGCGATTGCTCTTAAAATATTATATTTTAGAGCTAGCAGTGCGAGTGCAGGTAGTTTTTGAACAAATTTAGATCTATATATCATCAGATATAATGTGTGTAAAAAGAATACACTGGAAAAAATTCCAATAATACAAATTAAAAAACTTTCGACCGACAAACTAATACTGTAGTTGAAGCCTGCAACTAAACAAATTTTTGGAATATTCACGAAAAGTTTTGATACGGTATTTTTGAAGGTAAAGTAATTTTCAACCAAGAACAGTTGCTTCGAACTGTAAATAAATGCAATATACATTAGCCCATATCCCTTGGTACCCTGAAGAATATATTCTTATATATCTCTAAGAAGCTTTTTCTATATATGAGCTTTTAAAYTTAACAAACATGTCTTCCACCTTACCGTTTTCTATTTGTTTCTTTGGCATCAGATTGAAAAATTCAAATCTCGCTTCCAATTACTTGAAAAATATCTAATTTCAKGAATTTTGTAGAAAGTTTATTGCTTTATAAAGAGGTCAAAARATATTAATGGTTGAAATTTGATTATTTWAARAAAAAWWWTTTCTTAGGAATTTTATAATTCCTCAAAAAACACTCAAAAAAGCTCATAATTTCTTAAGAAATTTAGTGTTCTACAAAAATGCTCTTGYATAAATTTCCGATAAATATTTTTTTCTCAGGAATTGTCTAATTCCTCGAAGAAACCCGTTTTAACCGAGAAACTCATAGCCTTTTGGTTAAGTTTAACTATTCGAGAATATGTCCAAAAGAGGAATTTTCAAACTTCAAATTAGTTTCAGAGATATACATATATATATGGTTTGCTAACCCGTCATCCAAACTGGTCCGGCCGGAGATGAAACTTAAAACTCGTTTTTCTCGAAACTGTCCACGATTTCTCAGGTTCTACTGAATCGATTATCTGAAATTTTTGGATAATTTTCTTCATAGTCTTATCAAGCATATCCCCAAATTTCTATTACAATAGAAAAATTGTGTGACAATAACGGTTTCGACCAATTTTTAAACCTGCTCTTTGCTCTGCCTGCCAGTTTACTCTCCGCCATTGCGAAGAAGTCTTGCAGCCCACACAAACATGCATAGCACAACGAGAGAATTTGATTGGCTCTTGCCAGACATTGTTATTGCTGTTGCTTATGGCTTAAGTTATTGGTGTACTAAGTGAAACAAAAACAACTAGTCGCACAATGGCTGCTGAGTAGTGATGTCTGTTTTATGACGTCACCGCTGATCGAGTATAGTCGTCTCTTTCACATACTGATCAATCCAGTTTTCGGGAAAACAACAACAAAATAAATAAAATTATGAATAATGTAGACTATTTCAATGGCGCAGCAGACACTAGTTTGCCTTTACGCTTTATGCAGCCGTTCGTTGCGTTAAACGAAGAAAATATGTATATATTTTGATTAAAGCATTGCAAACCAGAGATTATATATTTAATATTTTAGACTGGTACAACAATGCCGACTTTTAATGGAAACCATTGCTAGTTGATCGAACATAATACGCGAAACTTTGTTTGTGAAACAATGCAGCGGCCTGCCGTCCCGGAAATAAG